CTCCCACCATTCACCTGGTTCTCCCAGATTAGAGTCCAGGCTCCTAACCACCAAAGGACAGAAACAGTGGAAGTTGAACCTATTAATTCTTTCAGAAGCCTTCAGTCCTACTGAGTCTAGTGTCCTTTTGGAGTGGTTCACTGGGAGGGGCACTGGGAACATTACAGTGTGAGGGATCTCTTCGCACTTGGACAACAGGTTACAGAAGGAGGCATCAGAGGACTGCTGTTCGGCCCCTTGAGTCTGGAATATGCGATGCCTAGTGGGATAGCTATCCTGCTTCACATGTGGTTCAATATTCGCGTAAAAGTTGTGGAAGAGGTAGTCTGGTGATTTGGATTGAGCCAGACCTAAATGGGAGGATTCCCAACTTTCTCCTGTGTTAGAGGAAATCCTCTTTGGGAGGATTAATCCTCTAGGGGTTCTTGGACACCAGTGTATACAGAGATAGGAATTCAGAACAGACACTCCTTATTCCCCATAAAGAGACAACACAGCTGGATGTTTAAAGAATAAATGTTGTCTTTACTGAATGATATTGGAGTTCACAGTCATACAAAAACAGATTCGTTCACACACACACTCACAAGTTCCTTTAGATACAGTAGAAATGGAAAAACAATCAGTATGGAAAATAACAAATGTTGACGAACTGGGTGGTAGCAGACAAAAGGTAACGGATATACTTATCTGATTCAGGAGGGAGTTTGATCTTCCCAATGAAGAAAGCGGGAACAAAAGAACTAGCTGGAGGGATTCTAATTCACACGGATTGGAACCAGCCAATACGTGTGGGCTTCCTTGGCAGCCGTCCAAGAGAGCACTTGAGAATTACCTCCAGCAGAGCTTCAGTTGCCTAGGTGGGGGGGGGGAAGGATGGCTAGCTAGCTTGCTTGCTAGCTGGCAGAGCTTTAGTTACAAAAGGTAGGGTAAAGATGGCTAGCTAGCTGGCTTGCCAGCTGGCAGAACTTAAGTTGCAAAAATGGGGGGGAAGATGGCTAGCGACGAACAAAGGATGAACATCGCCTTTTAAAACCTAGTTTAGGGGTTAGCCTTCATGCCAACCTCCTGTCCTCAGTCCGTCCCAGTCCCTATACCTATTGGTTATTAGAATGTGACATATCTATCTAGAGGGAGTGGGGCAATATTCAAATCTAAGCCTATACCTCAATGGAACCATTTGGTCAAGGTGTCAAAGTTGCATTGCCATGGAAACCTTTGATGTGTTGATGCTCTGGCTTGGTCCAAGCAGTAAACAAGAAGAAGTCACTTTCAGATGCAAACCAGATAGAGGGTTACGTGTTATCCAGAAATCCATCCATGGTGGTAAAGCTGTCGTTTGTAAGAGTCCTTTGGCTGAGCATAATGGAGAATGCCTTCTTGTTCCCAAGGCAGGATGGGTAGGTGTGTGTGTGTCTTCATTAGCATATTGGTGCAGGCAGCACCTTGGCACAGCAGCTTCCAGGTGCAGGCAGGCCAAACAAGCAAATAACACAGCATTCCAAAACCCATACACACAAATGCAGGTACATTCCATACATATGAGCATCAGCACAATACAAATAAAATGCAATTACAATCACATCTCCTAACACCTGTTTAGTGGAAGCCCTGAGCTGACGTTGGTAAAGAGCTGGCAATATACAGTGGCCACACATGGCAACCATTTTGCTATTATAATATAAAAGGTACGGAAGCAAAGGCAAAGTCATATACTGGCAAATTATTTTTTATTATGGCTACCATCGACAACTTTAATATGCACAGTGTTTGAGAATTGTAACGACAGGTGTATAACACTATTAACAAGGGGCATTAATCTACCTATGATATGAATAGAAAGACGGCAGAGAGAGAGATGTGCCCTCGAAGCTGGTGGCTAAGCAATGGTGTGACTGCAAACCAAATGGATCAATGAATGTTCAGAACGTTTGTATCTTTCCATTCTACTAAGCCCGTCTGGAGCTCCCTGAGAGAAAATCCTTCTGCCTTCAGAAACACCCCACTGGATCCAAGCCAGTGCCTTTCATTTTCCTCATCTCTTTCTCAACCACAAAAATTGTTTCACCACGAAATCAATAGCATTTGCTTACTCAATCAGTGAGGACTGGCCTTTGTTTTACATATCCTTCTCTGACCTGAGGCAGTGTAATTTCTCAAACAAACTTCAGAATCAGCAGAAGGGGAAAGGAAGCCAAGTGGCCGTACGTGTTTGGGAAGCAGGTTTCATGTGTAACACCCAACACTAATTATATTTATTTTGGTTGTTGTAGATTTTCCGGGCTGTATGTCCATGTTCTTGACATTGTAGGACCTGATGTTTCGCCAGCAGCTGTGACCGGCATCCTCAGAGGTATAGCACAGAAAGATGGAGTACTCTCTGTGTCAAGGTGAGAGGAAAAATGTAGGCAGATAATTTATATCTACTCAGGAAGGTGGGGTAGGGCTGAGTCATTATCTTGTAGGAGTTCCCCAGGCTGTGAACATGCTAATGGAGGAGCTTTCCTGAGGAGGTTCTTTTGCATATTTTGTCTTCATACCTGGTACCATTAGGAGGCTCTCACTTGGAAGGATATGATCATTGTAGCTCACTTTGGTTGTTGCCCACCTACCCCTCGAATGAGACACAAGTTATGGGTTAAACTGGGAATGTATTTACACATAAACTGATCTGCATCGTTTATATCAAGTAAGAATGGGTTGCATTGTGCCTGTGAAGCAGACTTCTTAATAGGGCAACCCCACCCCATCTTAGAGCCAGGTCCAGAACCCTTCCGGCCCCCACTTATCACGACCCACACTTCAAGCGTGTAGAGGAGACAGAGGAGCACATTTCTGCCCACGACTGCTAAGCCTTAAGGCTCCTTATATGCTCTCTCAACCCCGAAGATGCCCCCACCTGGGTATCCCACACTTCGAAGTTGCTAGGTACCCAGTTTGAGGACCCCCCCATTACTGATATTGTGGGGTGATTGCCAGCTGGATTAGACCCCCTCAACCTGTGCCTTCCTGCCTTCCCAGAAGGGACCTAACCAGATTACCAGGCCTATTTATGCCGCATCCCCCCCCAGACCATGAGAAGCAGGTGAAAAAAGGCCCCCTCACAGCCAATACAAGTGAGACCCAAAAAAATCCTGTTCAGCCCCACAACCGGTGACTGGCTAATCCCACATGGTTTTAAACAGAAGGCGGGTGAGTGGGGAGCTCGCCCTTAGCTGGAATGGTCAAGGAATGGCTACCGCCACGAGATCTAGCCGGCCAGCCATCCCCAATTAGCCAGCGCTCCCATGCTGAACGCTAATAGGCTCCCTCCAAACTTGTGATTCCAACCGGGGATACGGGGGCTGGACAAAAAGCCTCCGCTTGCTCATGGGCAAGCACCGGTCCTTTGGGGATTGAAAGACATCTGTAGTGTGTCAAGACAAGAAATCAGACACAGAAACATCGTTGTTGTTTTTCTCTATACCAGCAAAACAATAAATCACCTCTTATCACTCATTCCAATTACGTAACAACATACCATATGGACAATTATTGAGACTTAAAAGAAATTCCACACTTTGCTCTGATTATGAGCAGGACTCTAAGAAAATGATGGGTCAATTTTTAGACAGGGGGTACCCAGAACACATAGTCTATTCTGCCTACTCTAGAGCCAATAAAGTAAATAGAATGTCCTTATTACAGAACAAAGCCAAAATAGATAGTAATCGCATTCAGTGTGCTTTTCAATACAACCTCTTAGCAAAACCTATTAAAGCCATTATATTAAAGCACTGGCATTTACTTAGTGAGGTTCCAGGGTGCTCCCTGACTCCTGTAATAGGTTTTAGAAGAACCAGAAATTTAGGAGATGTTTTGGTCCATTCTGATATAAGTAGACATTCCAATATAGTTCCAGTCAGAGTGGGACACTTTAAATGTGGGAAAAGTTGTAATGTATGTCCACTATCTATTGTAGGCTCTGTTTTTCAGCATCCTACTAGTACAGAGCAAGTGAAGATTAATCACTTCAGTAATTGTAATACCTCTAATGTAGTATATGCCTGTGTATGTGTGTGTAAATTGGTCTACATAGGAATCAGTACAAGACCTATAAAAATCCATATACAGGAACATCTATCTCGTATTAGGAACCAGGTGGAGTCTGCTCCAATGGTTGCCCATTTCAAAACTGCAGCACACAAACCAGAAGATTTCAAATTTATGGTATTGTTTCATTATAGATCACAATCCTACAATCAAGTAGACATATCCCGGGTTTTACTACAGAAAGAAGCTGAACTTATTTTCAGACTACATACACTGATTCCATCAGGATTAAATCAGGAACTTGATTTGAGTTCCTTTCTGTAAATGGTCAGGGTACCTTTAAGATAAAAATGCCATCTTAAAACATCACACCTGTTGGATCCTACAAATTTTCCATTGAGACATTGTGCCACACTGAGGGTAGCTGAGCCAAATATCACATTGTAGACTCTGTCACATGAGAGCATGATAGGAGCTCCCCAGTCACCAGGTTGGTAAATTTTGAAATAATTATTTTTCTTGAAATTATTCCTGTATATGTGTCACTGATGGACTGTAGAATATTCATTGTGCTTGTCTGCTTTCCTTTAGATTAAGCGTGAAAACGTACAAAAAACTGTATATGAAATTTACATTGTGAAATAATGGTGAGTTTATAAATTGTAAATCCTCCCTGTATATTTGAGTAAATTTTATGTTTTTTGTTAGTATTAAGCATGTTACACTTCATTGCAGCTTGCAGCACTTTATTTGCTTGAAGATAAGAAATACAGACGACAAACCTGAAGAAGGATTCGTAAACGGACTTATACTAGATATCCGTTGTTTGTCTAAAATTATACTGTAGTGTCTTATATGTACTGTCAAGCCTAAGATTGCATTTAATTTGTTATAGTTGTAATTTTGCTGACAATTAATTATAAACATCTGCTTATATTGTATATTCATACACGGTGATTTATTGTTTTGCTGGTTACATTACACCGTGGTCTTGTTTGTTTTTCTCTATACAGCAAGCAATTGTCCAAAGTTGGAACTAAGTTTTATCTCTGATCTAGTTTGTAGGGGTTCCACAGATAGGTATATGAAACACAAAGCTTTGTGACAAAGCATAGTCCGGTTCTGCTGAATCTGAAGTGTCCTTATTAGGCAAAAAGGTGCAGAAGAGGAGGATGGTGTGCGGAGGGAAGGAAACCATGGCTGGATGTTAAGAACGTGGCAAAGCACATAAATTGAAAGGTACTGGAGGCGTCGTAAAGCCAACTGCAGGGGTCAGGTCCAGGTCTTCTTTAGACATCCCAGGGGCTGGCTGGAAAGTGAATCTCTGCAGGAGACTCACAAAGAAGAGGAAGAGCTCCATTCTGGCCAGGGTCTCACCAGCACACACTCGCCGACCTGTGACAATGCAGATGGGGCAGGGAAGCCCTGTTATTTCAACTTGTTTATAAAGTTTTATGCCATTTCCCCCATGGAATGATGGCCAAAGTAATTTACCATGAATAGAAAAAATATTAAACATGAAGATGGACTAAAGTACATAGAAGAAGAAGAGGAGGAGGAGGAGGATATTGGATTTATATCCTGACCTTCACTCGGAGTCTCAGAGTGGCTTACAAACTCCTATCCCTTCCTCTCCCCACAACAGACACCCTGTGAGGTAGGCAGGGCTGAGAGAGCTATCAGAGAACTGCTCTTTAAAGGACAGCTCTGACAGAACTATGGCTTGCCCAAGGTCATCCAGCAGCTGCAAGTGGATCAGTGGGGAATCAAACCTGGTTCTCCCAGATTAGAATCTGTGCACTTAACCACTACACCAAACTGGCTCTCAATCCAAACTGGCTGTCATCAGCATCAGAATGATGAATGGTACTGAGGAAGAATGGTAATCTTGAAAGAATATTTGATTCTGAAAAGCGGAAATGGCTACCTGGGACAGTGTTCTTCTAAGTAAGTGGATTTGGGAGAGTGATCCGTTAATTAAACACACAGTGATCAATCTGAAAGGAGTTACCTGCAGAGAAAGGCAGGAAGGCGTCTCTCTTGACAAACTTTCCTTCGGAATCAAGGAAGTGCTCGGGATAGAATTTAAGCGGTTTCTCCCACTCAGATTCATCGTACAACACAGAGTACAGTAATGGGATGATATGCGTTCCCTGGAAAGGCAAAACGATGAGTTATTGAAGAAAATGAAGATGGCCCATCAAGTACGTAGCTATCCTTTAGATAAAGAAAATGCCATCTTACAGAGTTCCATAAGAATTCAAATACAATGAAAGCAAAATTAAAAATTGACTTGGATGGACCGTGTTTTCAGAATTTGAATTTTTTGGCACAATCCAGGCAATAATGCTGCAAGGGTCAAGTAGTTACATTAAATAAAATAGTGTCTGTCTGTCTGTCTATCTATCTATCAATCTATCACCATCTATCTATCTATCTATCTATCTATCTATCTATCTATCTATCTATCTATTAAAAAGCTAAAGGTTCCCTTGCTCGAAAGCCAGTCGAGTCTGACTCTAGGGTTGCGGTGCTCATCTCCGTTTCAAAACCGAAGAGCCAGCGCTGTCCGAAGACATTTCCGTGGTCATGTGGCCAGCATGACTAAACACCAAGGCACACGGAACGCTGTTCCCTTCCCACCGAAGTGGTACCTATTTATCTACTTGCAATTTCTTGCTTTCGAACTGCTAGGTTGGCAGGAGCTGGAACTAGAGACAGGAGCTCACTCCGTCATGTGGTGCACTCGGGTCTCGAACTGCTGAACTACTGACCTTTCACAGTCTGCAGTTCAGCGTCTTAACCACTTGAGCCACCGCAGCTCCTATGTATCTATGTATGTATCATCTATGTATGATCTATGATTATATATATCATATTATCTATCTACCATATGGTATATACAATGGCAAAGATTAAAACCATAAGGTCTGAATATCAGACTGCATAAGACATGAACATGAGCTTTATATAAGCTGTAGTAATTTCACATACAAAGTTGCTGATTTCACATTAAAAGTTGATGAATAAATCAAATGACCGATAAGACCAGACACATTTCAGCATCTCGGGCCTTCCACAGCAGGCAATAATCTATATATCTAATTCTCAGCAGTCCCCTCTGCGTGCAGACACTCGTGTCCGTAAACAGAGGGCGCACTCTCCCCCAAGAGGTTTTTCTACAGACTTGGGATTCAACTTCCCTCCCCTAAATAAAAAGCATTGTCTGCACATGTGCAGACAGTACAGCTTACATTCAAGGGCCCAGCTGACGGTTCTGCTCCCATGGCAGGAGGGAATGCCAGAAACCACTTCGTGGCCGGGCAGTGAGGAACACTGGGAGCAGCTCCAGGCCCAGCTGCTGTGGCGTAGAACTCTGGGAGAGTTCTGCTCCAGGCTTGAGGCAGTTCCCAGGCACTTCCAGCACAGCTGCCAAGCTCAAAGGCAGGCAAAAGGGGGGGTACAGAAAGAACGGAGGATTGGCTGGGGAGGGGGAGGGAATGGGAAATACGGGGGTATTGGCTTGGGGGGAGAGAAAGAAGGGATTGGCTGGGGAAGAAAGGGAAATATGGGGTATTGGCCTGGGGGGAGAGAAAGCAGTGGTATTGGCTGGGGGAGAGAAGGTGAAATTTGGGGGTAATTGGACGGGGGAGAGAGGAGGAATGGGGTTTGGCTGGGGGAGACAGAGAGAAAGAGAAAGAAGGAGAGAGAGGCTTGGGGGAGAGAGAGAGAAAAGGGAGGATTGTCTCAGGAGAGAAAGACAAAGAAGGGGAAATTGGCATGGGGAGACAGAAAAGAAAAGAAGGGGTATAGGTTTGGGAGGAGACAGAAAAAGAAAGAAGGGGGTATTGGGTTGGGGAGAGAAAGAAAGGGAAAGAAGGGGGAGGGGGGAAGGAGCAAAGGTGGGAGAATGTCCCCTCCCTGCAAGTTTCTTGCAGGTTCCCACTTACATATACTATTTCAAAAAGACACACATTCAGAAGTTAATATGTATAAATCCAGAACAGGTGTTGCTATCTTTTCCTTCATTTGTTACAATCCAAGAAAAGCCAGAAACATCCCCATTATTTCCATAAGATTAATCTATGGGACTCTGAAGAACGTCGCGGGGAAGGCAGGCTATAAATTAAATAAATAAACCATTAACTGACTCTCTTATTCCATGAAATTATATATTGGTTGCAAAAAATTCACAAATGTGCCATATTCAGCTGAACAAGGAATATAAAGCAAACAACAATTACCTTTGGAATGAAGTAGTCTCCAAGAGTGACGTCTGCACTGGTGGCATGTGGCACGTTGGTAGGGAGAATATTAGCAAACCTCTGAACTTCATGAATCACCGCATCTGTGTAGGGCAGTTTTGCTCGGTGCTCAATCTGTGGTTGCGCGGACCCGATTACCTTTGTTATTTCTTCTTGCACTTTCCCTGAGAAAACAGAACATTTCCCCCCAATGAAGTAAATTTCTGTTTCAGATTTTGAATCATCCCCTAAAAATATTGGGGGTATCTTCATTAGTATGAATGGATCTTGGATTCTGCTCTTGAAAAAGTGCCTTGAGTCAGGGATCCGGTGATGGAGGGGGCCTCCCTCTTCAGCCTTGTACTGTGATATCCAATAGACCTCAAGAGGGGTAGAGAAAGAGGGTGGAGCCCATTTGGAAGGGTTTTTTAAAAGTTTTTATTATTTTCTCCAAAAAGTGTGATAGAAACGGAAGGAAGGGATGGGGGAAAGTATCAATTCATCTAGTTTATCAAATAGTGTTGTTACATACAATGAGTAAAGTCAGATATATAAAAAAATAAACACGAACTTTCTGAAAGTTAGCGAGAAACTATTAACAACAAAATGATTATGTCTTTAACAGTTGAGCAAACTTCTACACTAAAATTAAATCATCATAAAAACCTGAATATTTGTCTAAATCTAAATTTATTCTTGCTAAGTATTAAATACTGATGGAGTAAAAAATAAAGTATCGAAACTGTAATCAATATCTTTATCACCTTTAATATGGTATTCAGATAATTCCAAAACTCAGAGGGGGGGAAATGTTAACTATTCCCATAATAAGAATGATAAGATTGCTATTTCTGCTGAAATTGTTTCAATGATGTTCTGTTTATATAGTTTTGCCAATGTTGCTTATTCAGTTAGTTTTTCTTTCCAGATCTCTATCATAGGACAGTCTTCTGCCTTCCATTTCATTGCAAATATTATTCTGGCAGCTGTCAACGTATATCTAAGTAGGTCTTGTGAGGTTCTATCTATATTATCTGGTAGGATTTCCAGTAGTCTCTAGTTTCATTGGGAACTTGATTTTAAAATATTTTGAATCTCTTCATGTATATTTTTCCAGTATCTTTTTGTCTTGATGCAAGTCCACCACATATGGTGAAAAGTGCCATCTACTTCTTTACATTTCCAGCAAGCCCCTTTGTAATTCTTGTCCATCTTTCCAATATCTTTTGGTGTGACATATCATCAGTAAAACATCTTGTATCCGTTTTCTCTAAATGCTTGGCAAGCATTGGCAAGTAAATCTAAGACCTTTAGTTCATACATTTTCCCAGCATTGGAACAGTATTTCCTCACCAAAATTTTGCATCCATTTGATCGTGCAGGGTTTGACCTGTTCTTCTTTAGAATCACATTGAAGCAATAACTTGTAAATTCGTACTAATAAATGGTCTTTAGATTTTCAAAATCGGTCAGTTCACTAATAACTCTTCTCTTAACACATATTTTTTAATCTGAAAGAAATTTGAAAGTTTATCCACCATTGTATCTCCTTTCCTCCTTCTTTAATCTCTTGCCACGTCTTGATGCCACCTTGCGGGTTTATCATATATTATAAGCCGCCCTGAGCCTTCGGGGTAGGGCGGGATACAAATGTAAATATAAATATAAATGAATAAGTTATAGAATCATTGTTTCTCCTTTTGTGATTAGTGTAATAAGCATCTATTGGTGACATTATTAGTGGAATTGTAGGGCTGATTTGTAGAATTTCACACATTTTAAATAGGCTATCTCTGATTATATGATTTTTATCTTGGGTTTTGTTTTTTGTTATAGATTTTTTAAATCCACAGATAGAAATATAAATATAAATGAATAAGTTATAGAATCATTGTTTCTCCTTTTGTGATTAGTGTAATAAGCATCTATTGGTGACATTATTAGTGGAATTGTAGGGCTGATTTGTAGAATTTCACACATTTTAAATAGGCTATCTCTGATTATATGATTTTTATCTTGGGTTTTGTTTTTTGTTATAGATTTTTTAAATCCACAGATAGCTATATAGTCCGTCATCAAGACCTGAAGATTCTAAGATTCTAACGACAGCTTAGGAGTGACATGATTGAGGTTTACAAGATTATGCATAGGATAGAGCAGGTTGAGAAAGAAGTACTTTTCTCCCTTTCTCACAATACAAGAGCTCGTGGGCACTCCATGAAATTGCGGCGCTGTCAGGTTAGAACAGATAAAAGGAAGTCTGTCTTCACCCAAAGAGTGATTAAAACATGGAATTCACTGCCACAGGAGGTGGCGGCGGCTACAATCATGGATGGCTTCAAGAGGGAATTGGATAAACATATGGACCAGAGGTCCATCGGTGGCTATGAGCCACAAGGTATAGATAGGAACTCTCATTCTGGGGCAAGTGATGCTCTGTATTCTTGGTGCTTGGGGGAGGGGGCAACAGTGGGAGGGCTTCTAGTGTCCCGGCCCCACTGCTGGACCTCCTGATGGCACCTGGTAGTTTTGGCCACTGTGTGACAGAGTGTTGGACTAGATGGGCCATTGGCCTTATCCAACATTGGCTTCTCTTGTGTTCTTATGTTCTTAATTTTACCATTCTTTCCTTGGGGCTTCTGATCCAATTCAATATCTAAACTAGCCCAGCAGCTTGGTAATATAATTTAATATTAGGTATCGCCAGACCACCTCTTTTCTTCTCATCTTTCTTCTCATCTTATTCTTGGCTTCTTGTCTTTCCATACAAACTTATTTGTTTGTCTTTGCCAGTCATTCAAAGTCTTTCCTGGAATTGGAATTGGGATCATCTGGAGTCACGTGTGACGCTTGCTGAAGGTAGACGTGTGGGGAATCAGCTCCACACAGACTTGCCTAAAACTTGCTTTTTCCGTGGCATAACTTTGCCAAAACCCTCTCTAGTTGGGAGAGGGTTTGCAGGAGGCTTAACTTGGACCGAAGAGTGGGTGGCACCACTCTGGACTCTAAGGTTTTTGCCCTGAAGCAGGAAGAGTGAGAACCCAGCAAGGACTGCATTGCTTGCCGGGCAAGGGAAGCGCAATGGACGGAGGAGGGAGATTGCTATTCAAGCCAAAAGAAGCCAAACAGTATTTCCAACAACAGAAATGAAGCTAAGTAATAGAAATTAACTCTAATCTTTATTTACTGGGGGAAGCTTTTTTTTGAGAGAAAAAAAAAGGGAAAGGGGGAGCGGGGTGGAAACGCTCAGCTCATTCCCAGTTTATGAGTTAGGGGTGGAGTAATTACGGGGGAAAGAAAGAGCTGAAAGGTTAAGAGGTGAAGAGACAGCTATAAATAAAGAAAAAGAGCAGTTACTGCCGAGTTGTTTTGTTTTCTCTATTCAGAGAAGTGCCGAGGAAATTGAACACACCTGGTGCCGATTTGAAGAGCGTGGAGACGAAGGAGGGGGCCCAGGAGAGGAGTGAAGCCGAGTGAGCTGCATGCAGCCGAGCAGGGCGACGGAGAGAGCCGAGCAGAGGACGACGCTTCCAAAGGGAGAGGTTCTGGTGCGAGCGAGGGCTCTGGGCGACGTACTCAAAGGGCAAGACCAGAGCGACACAGGGAGACATCTAGTGGAGCCGTGCTCATCAGGGGAAGGCAGCAGAAGGTAGCGGAAGAGGTGTAACGTGACAGGCAAAAGGAGGGGCGAGACACAAAATCTTTAAAGGGAAACACTCTGGGCGACGCACACTAGATTCAAGACCAGAGTGACAGATAGACAACAACAGTAGGGGAAATAACTGAACAGTGGGGACTGGAATAAACAAATACGAAGTAAATAAAACACTTAAAACAGGACAACAGTAGGGGGAAGAAAAAAAAACAAAACAAAATTAAATTAAATTAAAAAAATTAATTATAAAGAAATAAATAAAACATTTATAACAAATCTGCATAAAAGAGTGAACAGAAAACATTATAAAGTAAAAAAGATAGTAGTAAAATTACAGGATAAAAGACAAAACTAGAGTCTGAGGAAATGGCTTCGGGGTCAGGAAAAAAAGTGTTCACCCCCCCTGCGCAAGCCGGGCTGTCGCAACTGAAAACAAGTACAGCCCAAGTGTCAATGAGTGACATACAGACAATGATGCAAAATTGTCTAGCGCAAGCCTCAGAGCATACAGCAGATCTTATAAAAAAGGAATTAATCCCAATGCAAAACAAAATGGAGGAAATCTCACTTCAGATAAAAATGGAGACAGAAGAAATAAAAAGTGAAATAGCAAAGATAGCCCAAACTACAAAAGACCTGGAAGATAAGGTGGAGGATCTTGATGAAGAAGTGCAAGAGTTAAAAACTAAATCAGAGAAACTGGAAGATACAGTGATTTGCCTAGAAATGGAAACGGCAGGAACAATATTAAGATTTCAAAATATACCAGAAAAACTTAACCAAAATTTAAGAGAAGAACTGATAAATAAAATAGCTGAACAGTTTAAGATAGAAGATGAAAAAGAGCTAGCAGCAGACATAGATATGGTATACAGGAAGAATTCGGCGTATACCAAAAAGCATAAATTACCTAGGGAAGTTCAGATGAAATTCAACAAAAAATTAAGAAGAGATCAAATTCTCTATAAGGCAAATTCAAGTAAACTAATAATAGAAGGAGAAGAAATAAGGATTTTGAAGGACATCGCATGGAGAGTGAGGGAAAAGAGACGCGACTATGAGATCTTAACGAGATTACTGAATCAAAATCAAATTCAGTACAGGTGGTTAATACCCGAAGGCGTGCTATTTACATACAAAACAAGAAGATATAAAATAGATTCAATTTTCAAATTAGAAAATTTTTTGGATAGAGAAGGCCAAGACCTGGGATGGGGAAAAAGATATGGGAAAAAGAAAGGAAAAAAAGGGAACGGAAAAGAAGAAGAGGAGGAAGAAGAAGAGGAAGAAGAAGAAGAGGGAGAATTGCAAAATACAGAACTTCTAAGGCAATTTGAGAAAGGAGCAAAAAAGGGGAAAAGGGAAAAGAAAAAACAACTTTTGAGGTTTAAAACTGAATCGCAAATACGTACAAGATTACAACTGAAAAACATTGTCACAGCTAAGAAAGATAAACAAGATGGCAACTAAGTCCCTAAAATTAATATCGGTTAATGTGAACGGTCTGAATAATCCGCAAAAAAGAAACAA